GCCGTGGACCACGTGTCGGGGTGGAAAATGGCCGCGGACCACGTGTCAGGGGCGGAAAAATGGCCGTGGACCACGTGTCGGGCAGAAAAATGGCCGCGGACTGTGTCACGGGACGGAAAATGGCCGCGTATCCTGTTCGTACCCCGAGGCAGAGTACGCAAACTGAGGTAAATTTTTGCGGCCGGAGCTGGTTGTAACCCGAAAAGTTCGTTAACAGAGGCATTCGTAACCTGAGGTACCACTGTATCTGGTGCCCCAGGGACATCACCAGTGATGGAACCCAATTTTTTCAGTTTTTTTCTTGAGGGTAGTTGAGGGAATTAAAGTATAACCTCCTCTTTTCCTTAATATGTTAAGAAGGTACATCAAATAGACCTTCCATAAGGTAGGTGTCCAAATAGAGACAGATCTGTTCAACTACATTCTTGAAGAATGAATCAAACTGTTCATAGCAAGCACCTTGCTTATATTATACAAGTTTACCAAGTTTTTTCCTCCTCTAAGAGGCTTGTTTCTTGCCCCAGGCAGGATTCCATTTTAATCACTTTGTACAATTTCAGTGAACCCCTTGTGACCTTATTGAGAATTCTTTAAAAAACTGATATCCTACACATTCCTCTCACTGAGTTAATATGAGGCATGATGGAGTACATCAGAAGTGACTTTCCAGATTTCTTTCAAAAATGTTCAGCCCAGATCAGGGGCAGGCAAGGGCCACCCTTTGGATTTTTTCATTAAAAAATAAAATAAATGCCCTCTGATGGCTATAAAGGTGTGACAATGACCTGACATCAGTGAAGGTTTTTTTGTGCCTGATGGGACTTGGTGATGGTTGTTGCTAATATATAACTGTCCAATAGTACAGAAATGGTTTGCTATTGCCACTTTCTGGGATATTATTATTGTGATGATGATGAAGATGATGATGATGATTTCCAAGCATAGCTCACAGCCCTGGAATTTCCTATTGGTCTTCTGCCCAAGGACTAATCAGATCCAACCTTGTTTAGCTTTTTGAAATCGGTCAACATTGCCTATTCTGCCACCTTGTATTGACCACAGGAATACTGAAATTCATGACAATTCCCATTCTTCCTTTGTATAGATCTTTTTTAACAAACCATCTTGCCACCACATTGTTTTAGATCTTCGTATACTGTGCCAGGCTTCTATTAGATTCCTACCTTATCCTACCAGCATTCACTGAATTCTTTAAGAATGTAGGTAAAACATTGTTCCCACAGTAACCAATGTAATAGTAGTCTTCTGCTTACATTCCCTTGCAAGTGATATTGAAAAGATTATGCCTGCATACTTTTCATAAGTCAGTTTGGAATCTGTGATTATTCTATGACTCTGGATTTGCACTTGCCTCTAACTTGCTTGTCTGGCTAAGAAACTGCAGAAATGAATCTGGTGTCAAGTTGTTCTCAAATGCCAAACTGTACGCTGCTTTGAATATATCTGAGGGAATAATTTCATAGAGAACTAGTTTGGTGTAGTAGTTGAGGTAGACACTAGGAGACACTGAGTTCTAGTCCTACTTTAGGCACAAAGCCAGATGGGTGACCTTGGGCCAATTGCTCTCTCTCTCAGCCCTAGGAGGGAGACAAGGGCAAACCATTTCTGAAAAAAAAGGAAAGAGAACAACTTGCCAAGAAAACTGCAGGGACTGGTCCAGGTGGCCATTAGGAGTTACCACTGATTTGAAGGCCAAAAAAACAAAAAAACAAAAACCACACACACAAAACCCTTTATAAACAATGTACTATAATGCACTTAGAGTTTTACATCATGCTTTTCTCCAACAGATCAAGGTGGGGTTCTCCCTTCATTTTATCCCCCAAACATCCCTGTGAATTAGGTGGGCTGAGAGAAAATGCTTGGCCCAAAATTACTCAATGAGTTTCCATGGTTGAGAGTGGACTCGAACTCCCTGTTCCAAATCCAACACTTAACCACTATACTGCACTGGCACAAATTTGATGCTCTTCTGAAAAGGATGGAGGGTTACCCAGATATTTGAACTTAAGATGGAAAATTCTGTCAAATGTGCACATTTCTCTTTGGCTTCCTGTCTTTCTTGTAACCAGGTGCTAGAGGTGGGGAAGAGCTTGAAGCTGTATTGCAAATTGTTGCTGTTAATTTGCTTACTGAGTTTTCTGATAC